AAGACCGAGACCCAAGACAACAATACTATAACATGAGGAATAAGAAGAAGCAAGTGGACACAACAAAAAAGGTAACTAAAACTCCCTTTTTAACAAAATACTACATGGCCGATCAGAATTCTAATTTGATCATCGGAGGGTCTTCCTAACCATTTCTGGTCGGGAGTGATGACTGACGAATTGGTTTATCTTTGCAGAGTAAAGAAAGGGGCACTTCATCTCACTTTTCCTGTTGCGAAGATTTCTACCTTTCACAACACTAATTCATCTCACATACTTGATTGAAAGTATAAAAATATGACATTTTTTTGCTGAGTCCGCATACCATTAAATTTATGGTATGATGAGCCCAACATCTAGATACATACCCGTACCCAGCACTTGGGACCCGACACCCGTACCCAAGTCCATGTAACATAGCTTGTGATAGCAGTAGCCTATAGGGTGGTGGAGTTACCACCATGGCATTGATAAAATTTTAATTCAAAAATTTTTTTCTACTTACAAAAAATCATCCAAATAAATGGCTTTTTGTTGACTTCATTTTTTGTCTTATCAAATGTCATAAAATACATAATTTTTGAAAACAAGCGGAGTGTAATTGGACTCACATATTTTTTGGTACATTGGAGGGAAGGGGAAGGGGATGTTGAATCCATAACCTCTTAATAAAGTACATAAGCTTTAGCCACTAAACTAATCAAGGGCAAAGTCAGGATTTCATCTAGGAGGGAGTCAAAAGTAATTTAAAAAAAACATATATCATTTGTGAAAAAATATATAATTTTGAATCACTTGAATGCCTTGAACTCAATTTTTTTTTTTAAAAAAATTATTTGAATAGAAGTATATAGGTGGGAGCGTATTAAATAGTCATATGTTACAACCCTTGAAAACCACTACGATGATATACAATTTTAATTGATCTTTCAATCATTTTAACATGTGACTAAATTGTCCTTGCTAAGTCTTGAAAATATGATGTACTATGAAAAATTATCTCAAAATTTATTTTGAAATGAGATGTAAATTGTAAATTTAAATAATTTTTCTGAATATATAGTAGTGTTGATATGTGTTTCTCTCACATGACTTTGTTATGACAACCATAACTTTGAGCCTGCCTAAATTTTCCATTTTGGGTGTAAAGGTTATAAACTACAAATCAAACACTAAATGATGGAATCAACATATATATCCACCAAATATACATGTATACTGTGTGTGTTAATTTCTAACCACACTGCCAAACAGGTACTCAGCTGGAGAACACCGGCAGAATATATGGCGCTCGAACGACCTGTCACAGAAAGATAAGACTCCGGTGGTGGATCGTCTACCCAGGGGCAATCCGATGATCAAGTCAGTACTCAATTATCTCTCAAAAATAGCGAATAGTGCTTTAACTCACCAGTCAGAATACAAAAAAGCGTACCTTAGACCCATGAGGGTGCATTTCTTTTATAGCTTGCACTAACCTGATCCCTGTAGAAACCTAGTTTCTCTTGAACTCTGGCCCAAAGCTCATCCTTGACTCTCCAATAGATAAAGATAAACTCCCTAAGAGCTTTATCCTTATCTAGGCTGAGGTCCTACCTCATTCTAGAACTCTTATAGCTTATCCGTTCATCTCAGATTCTGGTATTTTCGCAGGTAACCTCGGCTTAGCAGATCACCTCGGCGCCAAGACCAAGACACATGGCACCTCAGCAGGCACTTCGATGCCACCTTGGTCACGTGTTGTCATTCACAAAATATGTCCACACAACTGCCCCCTAGGTTCTATTAGCTCGGTATCCTGAGGTGATCAAACCTATATCATTTGACCACATAGCACGTTGGCTGAACTTGCTATATCCTTCATTTTCGAGGCCATCATTCGTCGGCTCTATATGACCAAGACTTGTAGTCTGTTTTTATCAATGCCTTAGAACCAAGAACCAAGTTTTTCAAGTTCTTTAGCCGAGATCGTCCCCATAGCCGAGGTCTCTGCTTCATTAAATCAAGAACTCCAAGAGTTCCATCTGCGCATGAGCTGTCATGCATGACTTCTCAATCGTTTTTGTCACACGTCTTTTTCTTATTGATTTGTAGCTGACACGATTCATCAAGTCCCGTCATTTCTGTATGCGTCGCCTGACAGACACGTCATCCTAGGCACACTAATTGTGATTTTGCCGCATTTTCATGTTTTAAACAAAAACACCTCTCTCTCTCTCTCCGTCTTTTCACCTTTGCATCTTCATTCTCTCCCAAGCTTTCTCTCTCTAAAGTTTCTTGTCTCCAAATCGCCATTGTTTAAAGCTCTCAAGCTCTGCAACTTGCTCCGTTCATCCCTTTCAGTGAAGCATTCACCGCTTCGCTCCATTCACCGTCATCGTCTGACTTTGGCAAACCTCACACCGGCGCCATTTTCTTTTGTAAGTCACTGTTCCCCTCCTTTCAGTTTTTGACTTACTTCGAACTTTGTTATGTTCTGCACACTGCTATTGCGAATCTATTTACGTTCTTGAATATATTTGCTTGTGTTTTGAATTCCATCACTTTGAGTACCAAACATGCTTTGTTTGGGATTTTTAGTTGTTCAATCTGCTTTTGATTCATGGCCCCTATGCACACATATGCACTGTTTCACGTGTCTCGATGTTTTTGATAGTTTATCATTGTTCTTGATTTTTAATCTGTGTTCTTGAATTTGTGCTACATTCTTGAGTCTGAATCATACTCTTTGCCCTGTTTTCTTGTTGCATTTTCCAGATTCCTGCCTTCAATTCTTGTTTCCATAGTCTCAGGCTTGGGATTTGTTCTAGAACCTTGCCCTTTAGGCAAACCGAACCAAAAACCCTTCAGATTTTCAAAAAAAATTTGCCTCAGTGCTCTCTAGGGTTTTAGCTGAGGTCCCTGAAACCCACACAAACCCCTTTTTTCCGAATTCTCACACCTTGTCCCTCTAGCCGACGTCATGGGTATGTTTAGGTGGAGGGTGGATACCCCGGAAAAACTTGAGCATTTTAGGAGGGAGTTCTCCATCCTTGTCGACGTTCATCTTAGGTTGGCTGGGGAGGAGGACTCCATCATGCCCAAAGACAATTCCATGCCCTTCCCAGTAGTAGCTTTCATCGAGTGTGGACTTAGGTTCACTCTTGACATCCTTTTCCGCCAAGTCCTTCACTATTACAAACTAAACCCAATACAGTTAGCCATTAACTCATACAGAGTCATCAACGGTATAATTGCCCTAGCTAGCTAAGAGAACGCTAGGATTACTTTAGCTAACATCCAACACTGCTATACCATGTGTGGCCTTAAGTTAGAAAAATGCTATATCTATTACCTTAAGCCGAGGTCGACCAAATACAAACTTATTGCCGACCTCCCAAACTCCAACAAAGGTGCTGGAGATGATTATTTCATCGTCTCGGGCAACTGGGAGTTTCCACAAGATGATGACCTCCATCTCTGTCCTTTGAGCCAATCAATCTTTAAAGAGGGTAATGGTAAGAATAAAGTATCACTTTACTTGCTTTCAAGTCTTTTTTATTTTGATACTTTTGTATGTTCTAATGTCTGTTTTTTACTTGCAGTTCTTCCTCAGCTATCGAAAGACTTTCGCAAAACCTTCTACCCCAACAAAGATTTCAAGAAGCTGCTGGACTTGCCTGTTAATCAGCGGAAGGCTCCTCTGCTGCTGAACTACATCCCAACTTACAAATCCATCCTATCCGACGTCCCTAAGAAGAGCAAGTCTCCTCATTCAGCCACAACTCCTCCTATCACTTCATCACCACGGCTTGACCAAGCCTCAACATCTGACCCAGCAGAGCAACCATCAACATCCGCTCCTCAACTAATTCCTCCAGCCTAGCGTCAATGCCGACGTCGAGCTCCCGCCAACACTCCTGCTACTAGAACTTGTAGCCGAAAATGCCAAAGTTTTGAGGCGTCGGCTTTTGATCCAGCCAACCCACCCACTACACTTCTGGCAATTCACTTTGGCACCAAGGTTACAGTCGCCGCCACCGCCGATGAGATGGGATGTAACAAGGCCGTAGTCAAAGACCTTTTGGCCGATATCCCGGGCGTTGTGACAGTCCAATCTTCCCCATCACAGTCCTAGCCCAAACCAAAGCCAAATAGGGTAAAGAGGGCCAAGGCAAAAGCCTCTTTTACCCAGGTTGAGTCTGAAGACACCGTTCCAATCTCAAAACTTGCCGAGGTTGAGAAAACAAGCCCTGCCACCGAGAAGAGGCCATCAGAGGTTGACTCCTCTGAAACCACAAAGTCAAAGAAGCTGAGGTCAGACTCTGCAGCTACCTCAGGTTCACTTAAAGTTGATGACCCTTGGGCCTTGTCTATCATAATTGAGGACAAGCCAGTCAGAACCGGTGACAGCGTTACTGACATTGAGGTCGGCGTTGCCCTGTCTACTGCATTGCTCCTCCCTAATGACCTCAATCGAATGGCCGAGGTTAGCGAATACAAAAATTTTGCTCTGATGGTGTAGCACTCTGAACTGGTAAACCCCTAACACTTGGTACTCTCCATTCTCAGTTTTTCATACTTAAAGAGTTTACTAACTTTGTTCTTTCCATTTCTAGGCGATCCAGCACACCCACTCCTTTGTGATGCTGGCAGAAGAAATGAAAGAGCTGGTCCACAAGACCAAGGAGGCTGATGGCTTGCTTAAGTCCCTAAACAAGGCCGAGGCCAAGATGAAAGCCTTGATAGATCAGGCCAAGGTAGCTAAGTAAGCCCAAGATGAAGCCGAAGAAAAGGCCGGTGCTGCAGAAGCTGTTGCTGAGGTTCTCAAAGCCGAGAAGAAAAAGACCAAAGTAAAAACAGCCGAAGCCCAAAAAGAACTCTGAAATGCCTTGGCCACAAAAGATGCCGAGATCAAAGCGGCAGACGAAAAGGCCTATACCGAGGAGAAAGTCGACGTCCGCGAGGAGTACAAGAAATAAGTCAGACAGGCATGCAACAAGGGTTACACCCTTGGTTGAATGGCTGCTCTGAAGGAGTTGGCTGTCCCTGAGGATTCTCCTCTCAAAGATGAAGGCCGACTTGCTTTTCCATTTCCTCCTACTTTAAGCCAATCTGAGGCTAAGGTTAGGGGAAATAAGGAGATGAAGGAGATGGAGAGGAAGATGAAGATGAAGAGGCTGAGGTGGCAACTGATGCTGAAGTTCCTGCTGGGCCAAGTCCCCAACTCTGAATGAGCAAGTCCTAGACTTGACTCAGGATGAGGAGGACGAGGTCTCAAAAGATGCCTCCCCCAAGAAGACTACATCCGAGGTGTCTATCGCTGAGAAGAGCCTCGATCAGACTTTGTAAGAAATTGACGCCGAGCTCGAGGCTAAGAAGGCTGCCGAAAAGATGTCACAACTGTCTTTTGGGACACATCTTGCCACCGACACCGAGTAGTCTTTGACTAGGAGCTTTTATTTTCTGTGCATTGTAATTTTTTCTTTTTGAACGATGTATAGCTTTTATTTGACCGATGTTCCTCTTTACTCTTTGTAAATGAACAAGTAATCTCCTATGCCTGGTCGAAGTGTCTTTTTGTATCTAAACAACTTTCTTATCTGAATGCAAATCTTTACATTTTCTTCAAAGTGTTTGAATGCATGCCTTCTTTTCCTCTATGCGCCATTCCATACTTAGAATTTTTTTGCATATTTTCAAAAGTGTACCTTATCTGTGCAATCTCCTCGGGAAAAAATACCTCGATCATAACTTCCAATTTGTTCATCTCGGCCTTGTCTGAATACTTGAAAACATTGTAAAGATATTTTCAGAAGTGTTCATCTAAAACTCGCCACTTTACTTATTGTCTTCTATTAAGACTTCAGTCTTCCATGCTTTCTAAGTTTGGCAACCTGGTAACCTTGGCAAGTACGTATGTACTTCTTTTAAATTTACCTCGGCTTGACTTTGACTTGTAAATTTTGCTAAAAATTTCAACAAGTACTAAGCCAATTTTAGCTTATAAATTTTTCTATAAAAATTTCAACAAGTCCCAAAGCACTTTGAACTTTTACTCATCATTCTCCAGTTCTCTGCCCCCTAATATGAACTTAAGTTTCACTTAGGTTCTCATTAAGCACGTGGCTATGACCTTGTTGCTGAAGTTATATTCAAACAGAGATTAGCCGAGGTTCTTAACCTTGGTTCCTCTGCTAATCTTACTCAAATGCACTTAGTTCCAATCTGTGTTTGACTCTGCCGATATGGCAAGTCCAGGTTAATTTAACTTAGTTCAACTCCATTGTATGAAAGTATAATTTAACTTTGGCATATAATGAGTCTAAGTTACTCGTCATGTTCACTTAGAAATATCGCCAACTTAGTTCAACTCTATTATATGCAAATATAATTCAACTCTGCCATATAGTAAGTCTAAGTTATTCGTCGTGTTTCAATCAGAAACATCGCCAACTTAGTTCAACTCTATTATATGCAAGTATAGTTCAACTCTGCCATATAATAAGTCTAAGTTATTTGTTATGTTTCACTTAGAAACAACGCCGAAGGACTGGTTAGTCGTATTACACAAGTTAGAAAAAAATTGAGCTAAAATTTTATTATTACTTTGGCTAATAACAAAAAACTTTAATTAAAAAACTAAAAATCTAATGATAAAAAAACTTCAAGTTGCAAGTTTCTAGGGTCTTGGCAACTCTTTGCCTTCGCTGTCTTCAAGCCTGTATGCTCCATTACCAGCGACCGAGATGATTCTATAAGGTCCCTCCCAATTTGGGCCAAGCTTTCCCTCTTTGGGATCCTTCTTGTTGCCGATGACTTTTCTTTGGACGAGGTCCCCAACTTGAAACTCTCGTAGGTTGACCTTCTTATTGTAAGCCCTAGCAAGCTGCTGCTGGTATACCCCCAGCCAAATGGCTACTTTTTCCATTTTTTTCTTTCAATAGGTCCAGATCTCGGGCCAAAAATGCCTCATTAGTCCCATTCTCTACTCTCTGGGTTCTGATTCCTAGGATGCCGACTTCTAATGGGATTACTGCCTCTGTGCCATAAGCCATGGCAAATGGTGATTCCCCAGTTGATCTTCTCGGCGTAGTCTGATATGCCCAAAGTACATTGGGTAACTCTTCTACCCACTTCCCCTTTGTTGCTTCCAGCCTCTTCTTAATCCCATCCAAGATAGTTTTGTTGGATGCTTCTACTTGTCCATTGCTTTGAGGGAAGCTTGGAGTGGAGTAGTAGTTCTTGATTTTGTACTTTGCGCAGAAGGTCTTAATTAGCTTATTGTCAAACTGCGTACCATTGTCTGCTATTATCGCCCTTGGGATCCCAAACCTGGTGATAATGTTCTTCCATATGAAGTTCTTTCCATCAATGTCTTGAATCTTTGCAAGGGGTTCAGCTTTTACCCACTTGGTGAAGTAATCTGTTGCCACTAGCAAGAACTTCCTTTGTCCAGTCACTTGAGGTAGTTGTCCAACAAGATCCATGCCCCACTGGGCAAATGGCTAAGGGCTGGACACTAGGTTTAAATCTGCTACTGGTTGATGTATCAAAGGTGCAAACCTCTGACACTTCTCACACTTTCTGACATAAGCTTCAGCATCTTTCTACATATAGGGCCACCAGTACCCCTGAGCAATGGCCCTACGAGCAAGTGACCTGCCCTCTGCGTGGTTTCCGCATACTCTTTTGTGTATTTCATACAGGAAGTCTTCAACTTGTGAAAGATGCACACATATCAAAAGGGGACCAGTAAAAGACCTTCTGTAGAGATGTCCTTCTGCTGTCAGATTGAACCTTGCTGACTTCAGTCTGGTTTTGTGTGCTTCTTTGTGATCGCATCCATCCAACTTGGTCCCATCTCCACACACATTGCTTCATACTTTGTGTTCAGTGGTTCTATGCTAAGGCCTAACAAATAATCAACCATTATTGTCCTTGGCTCTCCTGATTTTATTGCACTAGCCAGGTTTGCTAAGGCATCAAAATGGCTGTTGTCATCTCGGCTAACTTGCTGTAGTCGGTAATCTTGGAATAAGTTTACCAGTTTGACAACCTCTTTTACATAGGCCATCATTCTTTCATCTCAGGCTGCGTATTCGCCTGTTGCCTGGTTGACGATAAGTTGGGAGTCATTGAAGACCACCACCTCGACGGCTTCCATTGTTGCTGCCAACTTTAATTCTGCGATCAGTGCTTCATATTCTGCTTCATTGTTTGAGGCTTTAAACCCCAAACGAATAGATTGTTCCAGTATCTGCCCATCTGGCGATATTAGCACTACTCCTGCCCCCGCTCCCTGATGATTTGAACTCCCATCAACAAACAGGCGGAAGGAGTCGCTGATGTAAATATCACAGGGCCTGAATTTCTCTTCTGTTCTGCTATCCCCAGCTGGGTTTCTTCTTGTTCTCCTGGCCATCCTAAACCATGACTCAATAGAGCCCGATGTGGGATAGCGCCGGGTGTGAACTCGGCCATGAAGTCGGCCAGAACCTGACCTTTGATTGCTGTTCTGGGTCTGAATTCCAGGTCGTATTGGCCCAACACCACTGCCTATCTGGCTATCTTGCCTGTCAGATCTCTTTGCTGCAATAAGGACTTCAAAGGATGCTAAATTAATACCACAATCTTGTGGGCTTAAAAGTAATGATTCAGCTTCTTGGAAACCATTACCAAGGCCAACGTTAGTTTCTCCAAGGGTAAGTATCTGGTCTCTACATTTGCTAGGGTTTTACTCACATAGTAAACTACCCTTTGTTCTCTTTTTTCTTCTTTGATTACCATTGCACTCACTGTATGCTCTAAAACTGCCAAGTATAAGAACAGCTTCTCTCCAGGTACTGGATTTGAGAGAATTGGAGCTATGGTCAAGTATTTTTCCAAGTCGGTTAAGGCGACTTCGCTCTCTTTTGTCCATAAGAAGTCTGTGGCTTTCTTCATTAAACTAAAGAAGGGTTTGCATTTGTCAGAACTTCTGCTTATGAACCTATTCAGGGCTGTAGCCCTTCCAGTCAACATCTGCACTTGTTTTGCCGATGTTGGGCTCTTTAAGTCCAAGATGGCCTTGATCTAATCTGGGCTTGCCTTAATGCCCTTTTTGGTAACCAAGTATCCCAGGAACTTTCCTGACCCAACTCCAAATGCGCACTTTGACACATTGAGTCAGAGCTGAAATGTCCTTAGGATATCAAAGACTGTTTTCAGGTCAGCTAGATAATCCTCAGGTTCCTTGGTCTTCACGACAATGTCATCAATGTGTACCTCCACTGTTTTGCCTATTAGATGTCTGAACATCTTAGTCACCAATCTCTGGTAAGTTGCTCCTGTATTTTTCAACCTGAAAGGCGTTACTATGTAGCAATACAACCCTTTTGGGGTGATAAATGCAGTCTTCCCCTTATCTGGGGGGTACATAGCTATCTGATGGTACCCCTGTAAGCGTCCAGGAAGCTCATCCTTCCATGTCCTGAGGTGGCATCCACCAATTGGTCAATTTTGGGAAGTGGGAAACTATCTTTGGAACAAGCCTTGTTCAACCTAGTAAAGTCCACACAGCCCCTCCACTTCCCATTCTTCTTCTTCACAACAACCGTGTTTGATAACCATGTTGGGTAGTTTACCTCTCGAATGGCTCTGGCCTCTAGAAGTTTATCCACTTCCTCTTCTACTGCCTCAACATGAATCAACATAGGCCTCCTTGCTCACTGGATGACAAGTTTGGCCGACCTGTCCACATATAGTCTATGGCAAGTGACCTCGGGGTCAATGCCAGGCATCTCGTATGGTGTCCAGGTAAACACCTTAATGTTTGCTCTCAAGAAAGCCTCTAATTCCTTTTCCTCTTCCTCGGCCAAGCCTAAGCCGAGAAGGAAGAAGCACTCTTCATCCCATTGCTGGACTAAGATCTTCTTCAGGGCTTCCTCACTTTTCTCAGCTGGTTCTTTGCCGACGTCCTCAAGGATCTCTATGTCCTCATCCTCAATCTCTATTATTTCTGTTTCTTGTATGTTGCAGGTGGATTTCATTGCTGCCATGGAGCAATTCTTTGCCTGCACGTGATCCCCTCTGACCTCCTCAATTCCATGTTCTGTTAGGAACCGCAACAGCTGGTGCAGTGTTGAGGGAACAACTCTCATTGCATGCAGCCATGGCCTTCCAGGGATAACATTGTAAGGGGAGGGGCTGTCAATTATTGTGAACTCCGTATTTACCT